TTTCTTTTCTTTTCTTTTCTTTCTTTCTTTCTTTCTTTCTTTCTTTCTTTCTTTCTTTCTTTCTTTTTTTTAATTGCTCTGCATGGCACTTCTCTTTTATTTAATTTTATTCATTCATTAAAAAAAAAAAATCACATCTCCCGTTTCGGATCTCACTTCATGTCAGTATTTCTGCCTGGTGGATTTCACAGGGGAAGTGCATTGGGAAATCACCAATAAAGAAGGAAAAACTTGGGGAAAAAAAGAAAAAAAATAAAGGGAAAAAGAGAAAAGAAAAGGGAAAAAAAGGAAAGAAAAAGAAAAAAAAGGGGGAAGAAGGGGGGAAAAAAAGGGAAAAAAGAAATAAAGAAATAAAAAGGTAGAACTGTGGAATACCTCAAAGGGAAAAGCCCCCTGAACACTGATGTGTGACTTGGTGTGTTCACATCCTTCCCATGCCCATGGCCGGTCACAGAGCGGCAGGAGGGGACGTGTGGACGAGAGCCACGCGAGGGGACGGACAGCAGGTCTCGGAAACATGGATCCATTTATCCCTGGTAACTCCCCAGCCGCCTCCGGCTCCGCAGGGTCCGGATGGGATTTCTGACTTCTCTTTGGCTCACAGGTGTGTAACATTAAGGCAAAAAATAAGACACAGTGTAGAAGCTCCATCTGATCTTTGGCACAACAGCAACAACAACAACAACAACAAATTACTGTACACATGAGCCGAGAGGGGAACGTTTCCCAGTTAAGCAAAGGGAAAAGTGCTAAATAAATTGCACATACTAAAAGGTGGCTGGCTTTAAAAAAAGAAAGAAGCATCTCCGTCCTTTAATGTTCTTTTTCTTTTTCCTGTCCCAGAGATGAAGAAAGTTCCTTGGCCGATCATAGTCTTGAAAAAGGGGGTTCTGCAAAAAAAAAATGAGCTGCTTGCAGTCTTCATCTGGATCATGCAGCCTTTGCCAAGGCTAGATGTAACTCTGGCTGGAAGCGCTTCTGAGTCCTCCCTTCCTTGGGATTACTCCTGGAAAGAGAAGGAGGCGCCGTCAGAACACTGCGCGTACGGCTCGCGGCGGGCTTCTTGCATAAGAAACAGCCTGGTTTGGGGCTTTTGACACAATGCAAAGTTTTAAGAGATTAACAGAGTAACCTGGAGGTCCTCAAAGGGTACTGAGCAACCTGGAGGTCCCCCGAGGGTGCAGAGCAACCTGGAGGTCCCCCAAAGGTGCAGAGCAATGGGGGGGTCTGCAAGGGGTGCAGAGCAATCTGGAGGTGCCCAAAGCCTCCAGAGCAACCTGGAGGTCCCCCAAAGGTGCAGAGCAACGGGGAGGTCTGCAAGGGGTGGAGCGCAACCTGGAGGTCTCCAAAGCCTCCAGAGCAACCTAGAGGTCCCCAAAAGATGCAGATCAATTTGGAGGTCCCCAAAAGATACAAGGCAACTAAGAGGTCCATGAATGGTGCAAAGCAATGGTGTAGGTCCCTGAAGGGAGGCCAGCACGTGGAACAGGAGAGATGTAACAGAAAGGGACGTTGGGGGAAGATGGGAACACGGAGTCTTGGCCTCCACATCCCAGGGTATCTCGGCCCCCGCATCCTGGTGCATGTGGGGCTCCGCGTGCAGGCGTCCGCACGTCCCCTTTGCCGCCAGGGCTGCGGAGCGGAGCCGGGCGGCCCCGAGCAGCCGCCGCGGTGGTGCCGGAGGCGCGAGGGGCCCCGGGCCGGCGGCTCCGCTCGGCTCCGCTCGGCTCGGCGGCGCCCGGCCGCCCGCCGCGCGCAGACTGGCTGGCTGCCCGCCCCGCCAAGCGCCGCTATTTTTAAAGAGCCGCCTCGGCTGACTCGGAGCGGGGGGAAAACGGGGGCGCCGGGACCGCGGGGACCCCCTCCTTGCAACCCCGAGTGGCCCTAACGGCCCTGGCTGCAACGGGGACACTTGCTTTGAATCCTGTGTGCGCTTCTGTGTAGTGCTTAATTTGTAAGGAATCCATACATACGTGTATGTGGGAATGATACACACATACATGTGCATATATATATATATTTTATATATTTATATTTTTCACATATATATAAAAATATTAATTTCTATTTCTTTGCCCCTGCAAATGCACACAGGGAATTCAAAGCAAGCCCCACAACTCCCCAACTTTTATTGCGCTCCAACCGCCGCGCTGTTATTCATAACCCGGCTTCCTCTCTCACAAAGAGACCTTTTGCATGGTTTCTTTTTTTCTTTTTTTTTTTTTTTCCCTTTTTTTTTTCCCCCCTTTCCCTCCTGCCTCCCTAACAGCTGCGCTCAGTGTTGTATCCTGAGTGATGATGAGGTTCTGAAAGTGTTTTTTTGGAACAGATGGCCAGGAGAGAGCCGGGGAATGTGCCAGCAGCGCGCCGGGGAATGTGCCAAGTCCTGCGGTGACGGAGTGCTCTGGGTTCCAGCTCGCGTGCCTTTCCCCTGCCCTCTGCCCCAAGTGGCGCCAGCAGGACTTCCCAGCTCGCGCTCCGAACATCTGGAGTCTGCGGCTGCCAGAAGAGCGCGAGGCGGGGGGGACAGGGCGGGGGGGGAGAGAAAAAAAAATAAAAAATAATAAAAAAAATCCTTCTCCCGGCTCCGGGTTGAGCTTCCATGTACTCAGCGGCGGCGCTGCCTCACGGAGCAGCTAATCAAAACCAAAGAGGACAGGAGGGAAAAAATAGAGAAATAATGAACCTTGCGAGCGGCGGCAGCTGCGGCGGCGCCAGGGAGCACGTGGCCCCGGCAGAGCTGCCCTGTGGGGGCTTGCCTGGTTTGGGGGGTTTTACCCGGCTTTTTCGGTCCTCTCCCGCTCTCTGTGTCGTGATGCAGGACAGGGTGCACCGGGAGAGTAAAACCCCACGGGTCCCCGTCCTCGGCCACCCCTGCGGTGTCCAAGGATGGTGCTGGGCCAAGGGCAGAGCATCCCTCTTCCCAGCACATCCATTGCACCCGGCACTGCTCAGCCTCAGCACCAGGGTGGAAAGTGGGGCTGGGGGAGCAAACCCACCCACGAGGTCTCCCTTTGCAGCAGCAAAGTACCAGGGACTGTCTAAGAGCAGGACAGGCAGCTGAACTGCTGCACAGAGCCCAGCAAATGCAACATCTGGAGCCGCAGGCTGCCAAAACAAACTCCCATCAGCTACTTTTTGGATGCGGGAGGCTCACGGTGCCACAGTGCACGGAGGTGGTGGAGGATACAGGGTGTTTGAAGGCTACAGCCCAGGGCTTGAGTTGGGCTTTCAAGGAGAAAAAGGGGGGGGAAAAAAAGGCAAAGCAAAAAGACCCCCCCTCCAAAAAAAGGCGGCGATTTGGAAGAGCTGCTCAGCGGCTTCCGAGAGCTGATTAAAACCACACGCCGCGCAGCAAACGTGCCGACTGCAGCATGAACTGGTGCATGGGGGTCTCCAGGCCAAGCCCCCTCCTGAGCTGCGGGAGGAGAAAAAAGGGAAGGGCAGAAAAGAGGGGAAAAGACCAGGAACGAAGACTTGGGAAAGCTGTGGTGGCTGAGAAAGCAAGGAAATCTCTTTGAATATACATATATATATCCATACATATATTCTATATATCTTTATCTTTTTTTTCTTAACTTTTACCATTATTTGGGGGTGAGTGGGGCCACGACCTACCTTCCTTTTTTTAGATCTTCCTTCGGCTTGTAAGGTCCTAGTGCACTGCTCCACACACTCGGAGAAGCTCATGTTACTGTGGTCAGCGCTGTAATCCAGGTCTGCTAGTCTGGCCAGGGAAAGGATATAGTTACAGGCTATTCTCAAGATGGCTAGTTTGGACAACTTTTGACCATAAGAATAGCAGGGAACCTAGAAAGGGTAACAGAGAGAAGGAGGAGAAGAAGAAGAAGAAAAAAATTAGGCTAGATAAACAAAACACCTTGTTCAAAGCATGACAAAACAACCGTGGGGTATCTTCGTAGCAGCTTTTAACACAAATAGGCCGGCCGCTTGCTAAAGGGGCATCTGGCCTCGCCACTGGGCTCCGTGGGACACTGAGAAGCTGCTCATGGTTTGGGACCCTGGGACAAGATAAGGAGCCTGGAGGCCAGAGTCTTTTTGGGGCGTCTGCTTACAGAAGGAAGCACGAGTGGGAAAGGGCCCAAATTTGGCGCTTTTTGCCCAAATGTCACTGACAGCAGCTTTGCATGGATGCAAAACCATGAAGCTCCTGCGGGGCAGGGCTAAAAGACCCCATTTTGCTACCTCTGAGCGGAAGGGGGCCGCAGCAGTGCCCTTATGCAACTCATTTCTTTAACCGTGAAGATTTCTAGAGCAACGGGGAATTTCCGAGCACGCGAGGGAAAGGCAAGCGAGCAGCCTGTGCTTCCCCTCTCAGCACACCGGACCGCTTTGAGACCATGATCCAGCAAAGGGCGGCACAGGCGCTTCATGTGAAGCATCCAACTCGGACCGGGCCGGGTTTGCAACCAACTCTTCTGCCCTCGAAAGCCTTGTCCCGGCCCCCGCGCTTCACTCGTTTGCAAAAATTGCGAAAGGTCATTTAATGCAAAAGCCTCGTTTGCCTCCGCGAAACTGGAGCCGGGCGTTTGTCTGAAATCCATCCCCGCGGCTCCGGCCGCCTGAGCGTCCACCCGGCCGGCTAAGCTTTCATGCAACATCAATCACCGGCGCGGCCGCGGGTGCCTCCAGCACGGGCCCGAGCTGGCCACCATCCTCCCCTGGGTGGCCACCTTGCGCAGGGGGAGCATTTTCTGCTCTTCTCCTGCTCGGGCGCCTGCTTTCGCTTTCTACACTTCACAGCTGTGAATTTGGCCCAGTTAAGTTGAACCCATGTAAAATTCTGGCAGTCGCAACATCCCTTGGCAAGTAGTTCCCTAAGTTTATTCCCCATTCTATATAAAAAACGCTCTCCTTTTGCTTGTTTTGAATGTGGCTCATATTGTCTCCAGTTGATCCAGAAAGATCTTATCTCTTCTGTGCCACTCATCTTTTAAGCCCTTCGTCATCTCCTCTCCCTCTTAGTCACTTTTCCAGATGGAAAAGACCTTACCAGCTGAGCTGGCTGCTGTAGGGAAGCCACCTTTGACCATTCTTACCGTTCTTCTCCAAACCTTTCCCACTGTTTTGGGACTGCTAGGACCAGCTTTATGCCTCCTCCTCACTGTTTCCTGCCTTTCCAATGATTATTCCTCCACACTCAGGCCCAAGCTGCCTCGTTTCTTTAGTGCCGAGCTCTGTCACAGCTCTCAGGGAAATCCAAGCCAACTACCTACCAGTTAGATCACCCTTATTCATGAGCTTGTCAATGTTCATTGGAAGAAGATTATTGATTCAATGGGACCTCTGTGGAACAGATAGCCCATGTGGCTTATAGGATCCAGCCAAGCTGCATAAGCTGCCCTGGACACTCTGAGGAGCCAGGGAATACATCTGTCCTCTGGGAATATCCAGCACCGGCTCCACTTTGGCCTCTGCTGACTTCTGCACAGAACAGACGTCCCTGCTGCTAACTCAAAGGCAAAAGGGATGGGGCCACTTCCATGCACCTTGTGTTGCAGAAGCACGAGAGGTCTATACAGCCCTACAAGGGGTTGTATCCTCCCATCAGAACCTCTTTGCAATGAGAGCAGCCCAGAAAATAAGCAAAGCCAAGTGCAGTCTCCATCACTCTGGATAGAGCGGGACCTAGGGATGGCTGGAGATGCCTGGCACAAATATCCGTTTTTGCCCTGCAAAAAGCTGCTTCTAAATCCCCGCCTTCACTTCTCTGCAGGTTTCATGCAGCAGCCGACTGGTTCCCTAAGGGTGACCATCCCTGGTCCCTCCTTCACTAAACGCATTGAGCTGCGAGTGGTTCTGAATGCAGAGCCCTGCGCAGCAGAAGCAGCAAAGCTGCTTCCGACCCTGATGTAACGAGAAGAGCCGAGAGCCCAGATCAAACGGCCGCCGGAGGGGGAGACCAAAGCACGATGGAAACTAAAGTGGAAGGGTTCACTGAAATGTGGGAATAATTTCAGAATTAGAGCAAGAGGAAGTTAAATCAAGTGGAAGGAAAATAGACCCGGGATCGATGCCGCAGACGCTGTCCAGTTACAAGATGAGAGGAGAGAAGAAAGGCGAATGTCTTTTTGTTATTTTTTTCCCCTCATCTGTTTTGCTCTTTCTTTTGTGTGTTCTTTTTTTTTTTTGTTTTGTTTTTAATAAAAAAATAAAACCCGAACTGTTTTGCAGGGCATGTTTGCTGCAAGTTCCAAGAAAGAGCAGAGCTAACACAGTTGACCAAAGCCCCGGCTGCGCTTACACAACGTGTTTCCCACACGCTATGGCAAAGTCCAGCCACGAGTTTCACCTTGTATGGCTCCGACACCACTGCCATGGGTGCGGGGACACTGGGAGATAAGAGTTTTCGCCATGGAAACGGTGTTAAAATAACCGTTTCGGAGGAACCCTCCCTGTCTTGGCTCAGCTCCTGCCATTTTAATGTTTCCTTTTGAATTATACATGGGAAATGGAGAGAGGAATGAGCCACTTAGCTCCACGTCCAAAGCTTCCTCACCAGCTGGGAGGGAGAAGGTGAATTTGGGTTTTATCCTTTCTGTTTTTACGCAGGAGGCGGCAGGAAGGGGTGTCCATCGCATCCCTGGTCCTCGCTCTTGTGCTCATCACACCTGGCGGCAGAGCTGAGGGTCACCACATGCCACCAATCCAAGCTTTTTCCTTATGTGACCTCCCTGATTTCTGCTGATGGGCAGCGCGGCACTCCCCCTGTGCCGTCTTTCGTGCTTTCTTTGCAATCATGAGGAGGAATTAGGAAGGAACCACAACTGAAATTTCACACCGGGGCAGAGGAATGCAGCTGCCTGCTAGAAAGGAAGGGATATTGGCACCAGGCTCAGCTTTGTGAGCTCAGCGCGGCCACCAGCGCCGGGGCCGGAGGATGTTTGTTGGTCGTGTCCGTAAAGTGCTCTGCAACGTCTCAAGGGTCTTATCAGCGTCCTTCGGGCTGGCAGGGCTGGAAGCAACGCAAACTGTGCGCTCTTGAAACACATTTTGGCGCCCAAGTTGTTCTCCGGCAGGAAGATAGGGCAGGATGTGACCTCACGGGTCTTGTCCATCCTTGACGTCCGTGATCCAGCGGCAGAGCCCTCGGAAAAGCAAAGATGCTCCCTTTGAAGTCCATGGGAAGCTTGCGCCGGGCTTCACCGCAGCAACATTCAGCCCTCAGCCATCTCTCCAGGGAAGACAAGGCAGAGACTTCCTCTCTTTCAGGAAAGACGAAGTTCTGGAGTTGACTCTTGCCCAGAAGAGACTGTGGGATGGGTGAAGGGGCCAGCAATGGTACCCTGTATTGAGGGTACAGGATATATTCACCCTGATGGGTCTGGTGGAAAATTAGGACCATTCCATGGACTGATCTGGACAGGTTCCTTACCGGAGCACCCTGCAGGGCAGAACTGGGCCCCATCAGCAAGCCAGGGAAGATGGGACACTTCTGAGGTACAGTAATATCCATATTTGCAGTGCAGCATAAAGTATTTACATCCCTGCTTCCAACCTGGAAGGGTCCAGGTACCTTAGGAAACGCAGCAGGTTGGATGCTCTTTGCTCTCCAAACCTGAGTCTAGGGAAACATCTCAGCCCTGTGACCATCATGTCATCCCTCCATGGGTAGGGTCTGCCTAGAGGAGGTGGAGGAGGAGGACAGACAGACGAGGAGGAGAAGGGAAGATGAACAACTTGACAAGCTGAAGACCTTGCCCAGAACATTGCTGCTTGTTTTCATAAACTCTTCCTTCATGAGAGCATTTGAAAAGGGAATCTCCTTCTCTGGAGATCTTCAAAACCCACTTGGATGCAATCCTGTGCCAGGTGCTCTAGGTGACCGTGCGTGTACAGGCAGGTTGGACTAGATGATCTCTAAAGGTCCCTTCCAACCTTAAGAATTCTATAATTCAATCATTTATTTATTTATTTATTTATTTATTTCTATCCAGCTGCAGGGTATGGGGTGAATACACACAGATCTGCACAAAGAGGTGTCTCTACCAACTTCTTGGAGGACCTGCTGGTTGACCAATTGTTTTGTGTATCCAAATGCTCCAGCTCAGGACTAGACATTCCTATATCATTCTTCACTGTTTATGTTCCCTGAGTCCTCCTGGCACTCCAGGAGAGATGACGATGATCTATATAGCTGCAGGAGGGAGAAATCTGCCAGCGTGGCTGCAATGCCCTTTCACTGTCCTGTCAGGCTCTTCCAATTCCGTGGGACATGCGTAGGTACCTGCACTAACTGTACTGGGGGCATGGGCAGCTGAACCAACTCCATGAAGAGTCAGAGCATGTATTTCTCCCTTGGATTTCCAGGAAATCCTGGGGAAAGGCAGCACATGGTGCCACCGAGCAAATAACCTGGAATGGGATGAAGTCAGGTGCTTCAGGATTGATCAGCACCGCTGAGCTGCTGCTGAGCTTGTCTCTTACTGCAGTTGTACTGAACCACCCTGCAAAATGATGACTACATGGAAGGCTATCAAGGCATCTTGGGCGCTTGGAGAAAGCCCAGGGCCATGGACACAGCAAGTCAGCTCCAGAAGGGGCTAGCCAAGCACTGTGCAGGGAAACCCTTTCTTGGGGGTAGTTGTAACCTCCATCTCTTGAGATACGCAGGCCAAATTCCAGGAACGGGGATGACACATTTGTGTTATTGACATCTACATCACAGTGTTTTCTGCTTCCCTGTTATCCCAAGGACCTCCCTTGACACGGAGTCCTGGCGATGAGCTGCAATGCAATGCAAGCTCTGATTCCCTCTCCTTTCAACACAAGCTCTGCTCTCCTAGATGAGCATCCCTGTGCTGCCAGGGATGAGCAGGACCAGAGGGACATACAGACCCACGATCACGCAGGGGACATGGCCGAGTGGAGCTGCAGGCCAGCAACAACGAATCCAGCGGTCTCAGCAGCAAGGTCCTGCTCCCCATCCCACCGCAGCAGCGGCAGCCGGGAGAGGAATTTGAGAGTGGATTAAGGCAGGGAGTGGAGGCAGGACTCAGAGCCCGCCGCAGCAAACCAGAGCCTTTCCTCTGATTTCAGCAGGAGCCAAAAGAAAACACAGAGGTTAACTGGGGGTGGCCGCAGCGGGCAGAGCAAATACCTCCCGACAGGAGCGGGATTTGTATGGGGAGGATCAAATCGGGCGGCAAGCAGCAAAGGGAGCAAACGAGCTGCCCTCCTGCTGACACACGGGCCCCGTGCTTGGGATTCCTGGCCTTTTGTCTGGGCTCTCCTTCCTCTCCCCTCTCCTCGCCTTGCCTACAGTCAGCATTTTGCCCTCCTCTGCAGCTGCTAAACCACAGGGTCCCCCTCAGCAATCACAATGGGAGGCTTTTTTTTTCTCCAGGAGTGGCGCTTTGATGTGTCTTAGGGATCCCTGCTGGCTGGGATTCCTATGGGATGAAGGGCTGGAAGATCTGGTGAGCAGGTGATGGAGGAAAATCCTCTGAGGAAGGAAGACTCGCAGTGTGCCCAGCACACAGCAAGGGCACTGGGACATCGTGGTGAGCAGACCATGTCCTGTCTGCAGAGGTGCCAAGAAGGCACAAGTAGGGTGACCATCTACAGAGGCTGCTCTAGAAAAGCTCTCCTGGCCTCTCCACTGCTACGTGGCCAAGGCTCTTCTCAAGCTGCAGATCCCGCCTGCACTTTGTGCCTGGCTTCTTCCATGGGCTCATCCCAAACGGCGCAGAGGTGTGGGTGACCACGGCACCCGCAGCGACACGACCTCCTCCCGTGGCCACGTGCACGTCAGGCTTCCCAGGGTCTCACCCCAGCCCGGCACCAGTGACAGGCTGCTTTCTGCATCCATGTAACCACAAGCCACAGCAACCACGTGCGTGCCAGCAGCTAAAAGCGAAAGGCCACGAGATGGGAAAACTCAGCTCGAGCAGCCGGAAAGCCCTGCAAACCCGACAGCATCTCCCGAAGCTGCACGAGCGCAGCGAGAGAACTGCTGGAGGCAGGAGAGCCCGGGGGAAGCAGTGCTGAAGAGATGGAGGAAACACCAGGAGACTTCAAGGGAAAGCGAATGTCTGCGGGGACGCTCGCTGCCGGCACGGGGACCCTAGGCTGGGACGCGGAGCGGGACAGCGGGGTCTGGAGAGCAAGCTGACGAGCGAGGAGCAGAGCGGGCAGCGAGGACAGTTTGCTGACACCTTAGGGTCTGCGGGCACAGCGGAGCATGGCCGCAATGCCGGCCCGGGACGCTCCCTGCTCCTGGCCTGCGGAGCAGCCACGCAACTTGTCGGGAATGGAGCTGCGGGCTAGTCCGGGCAAGGGCCCCTTGCTTGCTGCCCATAGGGATCTGCGGGAAAAACGGGGGGTCGGTGGCTGGTGTGGGAGGTCTGCTGTGGTGAGCAGTGGTGGAGGAGATGGGTGGTGGTGGTGGTTGTCCCATCTCGTCTTCTCTGGGCTGGGATTGTGCTGCCACAGGCCGAGCAACTGCAGGAGGCATCGGCACAAGGGCGTTTCGGAGCAAGGCCAGAGATAACCTCGGTTCCCATGACCTCGGTGCTGCGTCACTGTCCACATCAGAAGCATTCGGGTTCACTGACCATGGCAAATAAAAAAGGGATGGAAGTGACAACCATTCAGAGCCCTTAGCACACATCTGGAGGTTCCTGGAGCAAGCAGCAAAGTGCAAGAACACCCAACAGATCATCGAACACCTGCCTTGGCACCCAAGAATGGTCAGGGCAGCAGAAGGCTGTCCATCTGAGGGACAACACGAGGCAAGACCCTCAAATTAGGAGTTACTGACTAGCATGGACACCCGATACCTGGGAGAGGAAGCAGCAGAGAGGAAAAAGAAAAAACTAGCAAAAGGACTTCCAGCATCTCAGTCCATTTTCCAGAAGGGAATACACTCCACGTGGAGCTGCCTATTGGACTCAAGCCTCATGTCCATGGGCAGGTCACTTCATATCACTTTGGCAAATGATACTTGGGGGAGAAAAACCTCTCCCAAGCTGAGCAGCTGGAGATCACACTGGCCAGGATCGCTGTTCTTGGACCATCCTGTGACTGGGTGGGCAGCATCTGTCCTTCAGTCGCATGGCGGCATTGGTCATAACCATACGTGGAAGGTGGCAAGGAGATGTAGATGGGGAGATGGAGGGAGATGGAGGGAGATGGAGGGAGATGGAGGGAGATGGAGGGAGATGGAGGGAGATGCCCATCGTGGTTGCACCTTGGAGCAGCCCTGTCCTTGGCAGCAAGCTGGGGACAGCTGAGTGCCCCGCGGCAGAGCAGGATGAACCCTTCCCTGGTGCGAATCGGCTCTTCCCTCGGCCACGGCTCGGAACAAGCCTTCCTGCCATCTGGCGAGCCAGCCTGCACGCAACGTGCGCGCCAGATGTGCACAGCTGCGGCGCGGGGGCTGCCCCGCGCCGGGTGGGCGCCGCGCCGGGCCCCGAGGGCGGCTCCATGGCCCGTCCCGCAGGGGCTCCCGTCTGTGCCGCTGGAGGAGGAGCGCAGGGCCGGGCGCGCGTGAGGGCAGCGCTCCGCAGCGTCACCAGCTCGGCCACCCGTGTGCCGTTTCGGCTTCAGGGATTTGGGATAAGGCGCCCAGCTGCTCAAGAGCCGCACGGACAAGGATGGGCTGGAAGAACAGCTGGAGATGGGGAGCGCAGCCGTTATGGCACGGGGATCACCTCCTGTGCGCGCCTGCCTGGGAGAGGGAAGGACTGTGGTGTCAAGGGCTCTCCCTGCAGCGCTTGTCCCCAGAAATAACTCGCTCGCCTGGCCACGCTGCCACCGTGTCCTTGCTGTCCCCACAAGGATGAGGGGAGGCTCCGAGACACCCCGCGGCCGGCCCCGGTGGGATGGTTTGAGTGACAAGCCAGCACCGTGCGTATGTGTGCAATGAAGCCGACTGTCACCTGATGTCACGTACGGCCCCAAGCACGCCGCTGGCAGCCCGGCAAGGAATGAATCCAAATGTCATCCAATGCCGGCCTGGTCTGCCAGCCCACCCCTCCGCAAATTGCTAGGAAAACCTCGCGGCAAACAGCTCCCGGTGACGCAGTCTTCCTCCCCGCGGAGCAAGCGCTAGTGCGGCACCACGCTCGCCCGGAGACCGGCTCTCCTGGGAAGCGCGGGCGGCAACTCGCTCCCCAGCAGCGTGCGGGGCTGAAATGATTTATGGAAGCAGGGCCAAGGCCAGGAGCCTGAGGCTTTTCACGAGTTGCCCGTTTCCCCAAAGCGCGCGGCTTTAATTCGCTGCTCGCCTGGCTTGTGCTGGAGGCGCAGCCTGCAGCGAGATTGCCAGGGATTTGGGGAATCAGCGCTACTTCCCCTTGCGGTTTCGGCGGTGGCGACGCTGCTGCACGGGGAACGGGGCTGCTGTGGCCACATGCATCGGGGCAGAGCGGATGCTCGGTGCAGCTCACGCTCCCCATGCCCTAGGATGTTCTCCTTCCTACCGAAGGGCTCAGGGCTCCAATCTGGGGTGATGGGGGAATCATGAGGCTGGGTTCCAGCCTGGTGAGCAGGATGGAGGGATTTTGTCCCAACCACCACCCCACTGAGCTTTGCTCTTGTGCATGTGGAGATGCTCCACTCCCCAAAAGACTGTAGCAACTTTCAGCACCCCTTAGCAAGCAAACCTGACCCGTGCACACTCGAAGCACACACCGCAGGGAAAACCAGGGACAACTAATCAGGAGCAGACTGCAACTTCACTCCTCCTGGCACACATGGATCCCGTGGGACATCTCAGAGGTGGCTGAGGAACCCCCCACCCCCCACACAACATCCCACCTGGGCGAGCTGCGCTCCATCTCCCAGCGCTCCAACAGCACCGGAGCGTCACCAGCTCCGCTTGCAGCTTCCCGCCGTGCTGTCACCAGGTGGACCTTTCCCCTCGGGAGGGAGACAAGGTCCCAAGCTCCCCAAACCACAGGCGCACAACAGCCCACTATTCATTTAACAGTGTGGGTTGTGCAGCACCCGAGATGTCACTCCGGGTGCTTGGAGCTGCGTTCCCCTCTGGTCATGCCGGGTGCTCCCCAATGCCCCACAGCAGAGGGAGGGCTGCAGCATGGGTGGACATGGGGAGGGTCCCGGTGCCCTGTCCACGGTGTGGGTGGCCCTCGGGTGTCCCGGTGCCCGGGTGGGGATCCCAGTGCCCGGTCCGCGGTGCGGGCGGCCCGGGGGGGGATTCCCGGTGCCCGTTCCGCAGTGCGGGCGGCCCAAGGGGGGATCCCGGTGCCCGGTCCGCGGTGCGGGCGGCCCAAGGGGGGATCCCGGTGCCCGAGCGCGGCGCCCCGGCGCGGGTGCCGGGGGCAGCCGCGGTGGCCGGCGCCGCGGGGCCGCGGCTGCGGTACCTGCTTGCGCAGCGCCTCGAAGGCGGCGCTGATGGTGTGCACGCGGCTCCGCTCGCGGGCGTTGGCGAGGAGG